TTCCATGGGGACCAACCATCTCTTCTACTCTTGCCATGAATGCCTCCTTACCTACCCATTCTTCAGAGCTTTTCTGTTTTTCTCAGGATGTCAACCTGCTCCTTAACAATCTCATGCTTCCTACAGCAGCTCCTAAAACTCTTTGCTGTAACAATCAGAAGACATTCTGCTTTCCCTATTGCTACTGGCTATCAGGTTTGGCTCTCTACCAGATTTCTCTCTTCCATGAGATTTCTATACATAGAAGCTGAAATGCCTAGGTTTCTGGACCATTTCCTGTAATTGCACCAATCAAGTTTCTTGGCATTTTTCTTGCAATTTCCAGCCAGTTGAAAATATATTATTTTCTAAAACTACTATTCCCTCCTGACCATTTAGGGAGTGAGAGAGAAATGTGTTTTGGAATCTCAACACAATAGAAATAGTTTGGAATATTTGATTCATTAGAAGAACCACCCACATATTGGCTATTCTTGGGAGGCAACAGACTATGTTCCTGCCCCACATATTCTATGACAATTGGGAAGGAGGTCTAGAAGGAATCAAGATGGTGAGACCAGGACCAGAAATTTTCAGGCCAAAGGGGACAATCATATCAATGTAAATCAGAAGTCTTCCAAGATAAACAATACAATGGCCAACATGAGAATAAAAAGGCCTAACATTTAAATCCTGAATGATAGACCTCTATATAGACCTTGATATCTGTATACTGCAGTTGGGAAATATTTTGTGTAAATGACTTCTTTTTCCTGCCTGCAATAAAAAAAACACAAATCTTTCTTAGTTTTGTCTGTGAACCTGCTGCTGAGTAAGCCAACTCCTGAATAAAGATTAAGTGTATCAAGAGCCAAGACTTATAACTGTGCCTAGTAAGAAGTGATAAATTGTTCTGATTCTCTTCACTATTTTCTGGATATAGTAGATGTTTTGCATTACAGAAAATAGCAGAATAAGACAGAGTAAACCACAGGGATAATACAAAACTAGAGTCCTAGGGACAAGAATTGATGTCAAAAGGATTTGAATTACTCAGTGTCTCAAACCTACTCTATTATTTTAAACAGGACACATAGCCAAATTAGGCTTTATATATTATAATATATACTTTTACTGGATTGTCCAACATATGTTTAACATACAGATATTTGTTCAATAATAATAGCAAAAGTAGCTGTATTTATCCAATAGGTCAGAATAGAAAGCCTCTCCATGATGCTAGCCTTAATATGTTAGTCCAATGGTGGCAAACCCATGGCACGGGTGCCAGAGGCGGCACTCAGAGCCCTCTCTGTGGGCACATGTGCCGTTGCCCCACTCCTAGGCCTTCAGCTGGGTTTTATAAAATCTTTTCGCTTTAGGCCTCCGCTGCCGTGTGCAAAAAAAAGAAAGAAAGGTTCAATCAGTCAATTTCAACTTCTCACGGGAAAAAAAAAGATCTTGCAAAGTGGGAATTGATTGATTGAACTTTTTAGTCCCATCCAGTCTGCCGTTACCACTGCAGCCACGCCCACCCAATGGGCCACACCCGCCCAATGGGCCACCCACCCATCCAATGGGCCACACCCACCCGGCACTCGACGATGCATACGTGGGTTTTGGGTTGCAGTTAGGGCACTCAGTCTCTAAAAGGTTTGCCATCACTGTGTTAGTCTCTAATGAAGTTTACCTATCAAGTTTTATTTTTGGCTTAGTAAGAACAGAGAAAGAAATCTTGAATTAGAAGTACATATAATGAATTATTTAGTTAGTTGGGATCCTACAAATATACACCACACCAACTCCAACTTCATAAAGCAGATTCACACTTTCAGCTTGGCCCTCTGATAGTAGAAACCATTCACTGTTTTCTGAATGCAAAAATGGCTGAGGTACTCCTCCTCCTCCCTCTCCCAGCCCATTGCAAATACATCCCCCACGAATGTTTACAGCTTCAGTTCAAAACTGCTCTTTTCCAACCTAACCTTTTTAAACCCTTCAGAGCAGATGATCTCCGGTGCTTTGTTTCATTCTAGTAGCAGCCCCCAGTTTCAATTGACTGCAGTGCCTGACACTTCCCCTCCTCCCCAGTGCCTGGTCACTGCCCTAGACAATCACTGCATTTGGGACTATGGGGCTTGCTATATTCTGTTTTTAAAACAATCTTGTGATTGATCCAAAAATGGCCTGTTAAATCAATGAACTATTCTCAACTCTAAAAGGTCATGCTCATTCAATCTCGACATGTCCCTGTGGGATTCTTAGTTTTTTGCTCAGGCTGAGTGAAACATTGTTCCTTTGCTTTTCCACCCCTGGACACAGTAAAAAAAAGCTACAATGTCACTATAAGATAAAAAAAGAAAAGGTCTCTGCTAGTGTCTAAGAAGACAGAGTGGAAAAAAGGCATGCATAGGTAGTGTAAACGTCTGGAAAACTAAAGAGATTAAGGAACATAGGCTTAATGAGGAGGGAACAATCCCTCCCCCACCCTCAAAGAAAAGGCAGGTGCTGGAAAATCACCCTATATAGGAGCCAGACAGTAAGGCTTCACATAGGGGAAGAACAAGAAATAGGAATAATTGATTAGGTCTTGCAGTGGCTGTAGTGTAGACTGAACATCAGCCCAGTCACATTGTCAAGCCATTGCAACCTAGACTGATCTGAAGTTGGCTTAAGAAATAACCAAGACAACAGGTTTAGGCTATGGTGCAGACTTGTCCTTATCTAAACATAATCAATTTTTTCTTTATCCAACATTCACATCATCACAAGGAAGTTTCAAGCATGGCACCCACCTGCAAGTACTGATACGCTAAATCTTGATGGCAGGATTTAGATTTCAACAGCGCTCTATCGATGGTAGCTGAAGCCTTTTGGCACATTTCTCGGGCATGGCTGAGTGTGAGAGTGGACCAGGACCCTCTTTTGATGTAGTTTGAGTCACTGCTGATGGGGATGTTGGTGCAAGTGGTGATCTTGAGGTCATTATTGCTTTTGGAGGATTTCAGCATATGTTCACTGATTGTGTTGTAAGCATGCATAAAGTATTTAGGCTGGCTGTGATCAGGCTGCCTGCCAAGAGTCATGAGGCCCATAGGGTTACGATAGTTGCAGGTGTCACTGTCCAGATTGTCATCTGAGCTCCACCAGCCTGATATATTGGATCTCGTCCTGCGTTTAGTCTCAGTGGTTTTTGCACGATCTTTACTCTTGCTTCTCCGATTTGGTTTTGAGTCCTCAGTGCCTTTCTTGCCATTCACACTGCCTTTAGAAGCACCTTCCAAGGATTGTGACTTAGCAAAAAGTTTTTGGACTGAATGAACCAAGTGCCGTATCCTCCCGGGGTTTTCATTCCGGTGTTTGGGATCTGAACTTCTCTGGAACTGGAGAGTGCTAAAGCCATCCCTGTGGATGGGCAGTTGTTTTTCAAATTGGTCTAGCAGGTTGGCAGGGAGTCTATTAATTTTGGTGGCTTGGGCATGACTTGGAAAGGGGTTCTCATCGGGAACCTCAAAGTGAGAGTTGTAATGAATACGTGGAAATGTACTGCTGTTAGAAATCTGGTTGTTGAGTGGAAGGAGGCAGTCACTGTGGAGAGAATTGGGTGTTGGAAACCGAGGGTCCATCGAATAGGAATCTGTGGGACTAAGAAGGTAAGGATTCCTATCTTGAGTGGCATAGAGAGAGTCTTGAGGAGAGTCCAGGTTATCAGATAGATGGCGGCTTCGGTTATCTCCTAACCCCTTCATGGTGCTGAGGTATCCTAGAGCATTGCTTCTGTAAGATGGCACAGGAGGATATGTCCACTTTGTTCCTTGTCACTGTAGCTTCACTGGGAGATTTTTCTACAGCCAAAAAAGATACAGAAAGAGTGGTTAAAAGATGGACAAATATGTTCTCAGGATCTATCTACAGAAATCTCTAATAAGCACTACAAATGAATGATAGAAATATTGAGAAACCAAGAGTCCTCAATTCAAATAGGACAATGGTTTAAGTTATTGCATTTGATAATCCATTCCCCTTTGAAAATCTCATAGAATATCTGCTTCACTTCACGGGCAATTCAGAAGAATTTCCAGCATACAAAGTTGACCTCATTTAAAAAATTCAGACTACTTATTTCTATCCCACCTTTATTTTTATGTTTGCAGGTGTTCTGATATAATATAAATTTACCTTAATTGACTGGGAGAATGAAAATTTATTGTTTACATCAAGCTATATAAAGCTATGGATTCAAAAGAATGAAAAATTCACACATTCTACATGAAAATTGCTGTATAGAAACTTACAAATGGAAAGCAGCTCTGGAGTTAGCCTAAATTGCCAGAGATTAACCTGCCTCATTATTGTTCAGTATAAGGAAGTATATTAGTGAAGACTGTGAAAAAAACTGCAAACCTTCAGTAGTTTGATTTATATCAAATTAAGACTAAAGCATGTAAACCAGGCATGTCAAACTGCCGGTCCACAAGCCAGATGCGTCAAGCTGAAACTGTGCCAGCAATGGGGAAAAAGTCACGATACATTGCGTGATGTCACGTGACATCACGAGTTTGACATGCCTAATGTAAACTATACATCAAAAACATTTGGAAGCAGTAGAACGCAACTTCTCAGATCTGTAAGTGTGCATCGCACACCACCCAGAGGTTACCATACGAGGACAAATCATGCCTTGACAAGATTGCTTGGAGGTGGGAGATACTTCTAATGTAATCTACCAGATCCCCTACCTGGATTGCCCCCGTGACTATGTAAGATAGATAGGGAGGAAGCTAACCACCTGATTGCAAGAACACAGAGTGGTCAAAAACAAGGAGACTT